TAAACATTAATATTTCGGGACTACCGCACCTCCTCCGAAAGCACGGGGGGGTGTGCGTGAACCTCGGTTCGCGTGGAAAGTGTATGCGTGAACTATTTAAAATTTAATTCGGCGCCACGATACTTGGCGCTTAAAGATTAAATTAGATCTAACTCCCTAGGGGCCTGCAGGCAGAACAACCAATCGACGCCACGGGTGTCACGTCTAAATATCCCGGACATAACATCCCGCGACAAAATATCCTCTGGCAAAATATCCCGCGACAAAATATCCCATGCGACAAAATATCCCGCGACAAAATATCCCATGCGACAAAATATCCCGCGACAAAATATCCCCTGGCAAAATATCTCACGACAAAATATCCCTAAGATGCAGAAATGTGAACATATGCACAGCAACTTATAGTTTAATTTTTAATTAAATACGTAAACATTAATATTTCGGGACTTCCGCACCTCCTCCGAAAGCACGAGGGGATGTGCGTGAACCTCGGTTCGCGTGGAAAGTGTATGCGTGAACTATTTCGGGACTATTGGAAAGAAACGTGGTCTATTTTCTTACGGCCTTACGATTATGACTAAAACTTTGTTACATGCAATGGCCTTTACGAAAAAGTGTGTGTCCGGGGCTTTATGCTAGGTCTACAATGCAAGTCGTAAAGTCGTGAGTCGTAAGAATTGACCAATCACAGTCGATTATTTTCCTCAAATTCGATTGTGATTGGTCAATTCTTACGACTCACGACTTTACGACTCGCATTGTAGACCTAGCATTACGTGCAATGGTCTTAAAGCCTTGTGTACACGATATTGGTCCAAGTTTCGGTTTAAGCCAATCAACTTGCAGCTCTTATAGAAAAGCAGCAGTTTCATTGGCTTAAACCGATATTCGGACCGATTTCTAGTATCGTGTATGTACTATGTACTACACAAGGCTTTACAGTGTAGTTCAGCCGGGGGCGCCACCAAATCTTCTCGTCGCCAATAAGATCCGACTATGAATACCGGCCATAGTTTTAGATACGTTCATGTGTAGCATCCTTTAGTATGCATCTGCGCTGAATGGTGTGGAATGGTATAAGCGGCTGAATTCGTTACATTTTACGCGTTTAGAAGTTTGGACTAGGCGTAAAAATTTACTTACGCTGTCTATTGCGGTGATAAGAAACAAAAATTTTCCATTCTGTCATGGAAATCAAATAGAAGAAGTATATACAATGCATTGACAAGCAACATTCGAGGATTTCGAGGTATCGTCGCGAGAGAGTTTCTTCCTTTTTCACATAGAAGAGTATAATGCAATGCATTGTTAAACATTCGAGGATTTCGAGGCTTCTTCGCGAGGTTTCTTTCTTTTTTTTTTTTTTTTTTTTTTTTCATAATAATTATAAGGCATTAGCTTTGGCGTGGGTGTGTATATGCGCGTGCTCGCGTGCGTGTGTTGTAAGACGTTGTTTCCATTTATAAAGAAAAGACAGGGAAATAAATATTTCCTACTTAAGAGAATGGAACCGGAACCATTAGACCTAGAAGATGGTGAAATCGTCGATGATGAGGTTAGAGAGATGCTGACAAATTTTTATTTAATATAAGTCTAACCTATATGAATCTCGTGTGTGTGTGGTGTGTGTGTACAAAACACAGACGCACACACATATATATATATCGAATAAATCAGTGTTATTTTCCTAACTATTGTTTTGAAAATAATCGTATCATTTCTTTAGATGTTTTTCTATTTTAATGTAATTATTTTTATCATGTAGTTTATATGTGTACATTGCAATGTGGGATGTACCGTGATTATATGAAATAAGATAGAGGAAAGTAAAATGTAACGTGTCGATGAAATATTCTCAACTCTAATTTCTTCGAGTGTCTAGATAAACTTGCAACATTCATCGAACCATACTAATTCGATATCAAGTTGGATGTTGAAAAAATAAAATAATGTATCGCTCTGCGTTGCAATGTGCGTCACACATTGTTGATTAATACAAATCATGCATTGTCGCTTACATAATATATGCTTTAAATTGTTTCCTCATGTATTATCAGCATTGTTACACATAAAAAAATTTTTGCGATTAATGAGTGTATTTTTCATAATTGTAATTTTTTTGTGTAGCCCAACGACGTTTTTGGAGCCTATAAAATTTTGCAAAGACCTCACGTAAAACAAACACCTGTCACAGATGTATGTACAAAAATGCGATATAGCGACGAATCTGACGATTCTGCAGATTCCGAAAGTGATTCGGACTCGGATTCTAGACAGGCTAATGTTAAAAAACCTAAACTTAGGTTGAAAAAGAATAAGCATCACGTCGGGAAGGATTCGACAACTAAGAATGACAAGTACAAAGTATGGTGTACCCAAATGCAGGAAGAATCTTTGACCGAAGACTTGACGTCGTGCGGCGTTACAAAAAAGTTGTATCAAGAACGTAGTGTCGAAAGTTACAATTTTACTCTACGGTACGCAGGGAACGGTGGCAGGGAACCTTGTAATAATAATAGTTCCGACGAAGAAAAGGACATTGAACGTAGAACAACTAATAAAAGGACGACGTCAGATAGACGTGATGTAAAATTGAGATTAGGAAAAAGGAGAAACTCCTTTCAGGTGGATTCAGATAGTCAAAAAGGCTCGGTTAGAATAATACCGGATTTATCTACAACTGTGGATTCGACGGATGCTGACGTTGCTACTGACATAACCATGAAACTCGGTGAAAGAAAAGAGCTTCTCATAAGTAAGAAAATACATGTTTCAGAAAATATTTAAAACAGTACTTGGCAAATATAAATAATTGAAAGTGACTTTTTTTCAACGTGTGCCACACAAGTTGCACGAGAGATGACAAATCTAACCTTGTTTAAAACCAACAAGATTCTCGTTTCAATTTGATTATGCAGCGATTATGATTTGATTAGTTGATTACAACAAATTGTAAAAAGGATGAAAATGAATTTAGCATTTTTTACCATGTGCAGAAGCCAAAAAGATACATACACACATGTGTATATGTATCTTTTTGGCTTCTGTACATGGTAAAAAATGCTAAATTTATTTTTATTCACATGAAATATTAAATGTTGCATTTAGTTCAAGTTTAACATGTTTTTTTTTTTTTATATGTAACAGGACGAGTGGTGGATATAATTGGTAAGCAGAAAGCTATCGATTTTTTTCAAAAGACGAAAAAGATTGAACAACACGGTGGAATGCTTATAATGAATGGATCTCGTAGAAGAACTGCCGGTGGAGTATACTTTTGGTTGGTGAAAAATGACAAACATATCCCTCAAGAAAAGATAAGAGAGATATTTTATTACGATCAAAAAGAGAGCAGTGAACGAGGAAAGAAAACCAGCGATTCAGGACGACAGAAGACGCAGGAATTAATGAGAAGCTTTGAAGGTAAATTATACTATTTACTTGAAAAAAATAATAAGGTTTCTATACATATCGAGGAAATGTTTAAACAAAAATATATAATTTGTCTCAAAATTGCAGATGGATCCGAAAAAGATTTACCAGCTTTATTAACAAGAGCGGAACTCTCGACGAGACAAATTGCAGAGGAAGCAAGATTGCGACGTGGCGAAGGCATGGACAGAATGCCGGTAGATTCCGATCGCACGGTATCAAACCCACCACCGAGTCCCGTAACGGATGATCCAGATCATTCCGAGCATCCACCGGTACAGAGACAGGTTCAAGATTATACCGACGATTTCCTCGACATTGGAGTGGACATAGATAGCATGGAAGTGCTCTAAAATTACATGCTTGATCTTACATTTGCACATACTCCAACAGTGACTTGTATAAATAAATGCTTGTAATCAGTCGCACGAAAAATACATATATACATATATACGTATGTATCATTTGTATAGGTTGTATATTTATGCATATTAAAGACGACAAATAGACTGAAAATAGCGATTACAAAACATGGTTGATTTCCGTCAAGTAACATTATACATGTTAAGAAAACTCTATTTCTACTAAACATTAACCGAGGCATTGTTTTTATCTAAATGATTTCCTCTTCTTCAATTATTGATTGCCATCGAATTAATAGCACCGCACTATAAACAATAATGCTTTCACAACGTCCGCGTTGATTCTCAACATTTTTATAGGGAGTAATAATTTGAAACGTTGTCGGTCATAAGTGTGTCATATAACCTGGTAAGGGCCGGTATCACAGAGTCCGATTAACGTGATTCTCCGATTAAACTCACTCTGCATCTCTTTCTAACTATCCCCCCAGAAAGAGACGAAGAGAGAGTTTAATCGGAGAATCACGTTACGCGGAGACTGTGATACCGGCCCTAAACAGTAGAATTACTAACTCAGACGCATTCTAGAAGTACTGGTGAAGGTAGTTTGATCATCGATTGTTCACGTACTTATCTTAGGAATGCGATAATATTGGAGATAATAGAATTCTTAAAATACGATATACTCATATCTTCTACGTACTTATTTTAAAAATCTAATAACACTAAAGTAATCCCTTAGGATGAATCATTTAGACTAAACTAAAGCTTTCCAAAAAAATGATAAGATCCTCTTTGGTTCTTATAAAAAGAGAAGTCTCGAAGACTGTAGAAACAGTTCTCGACAGTTCTTCAAAACGCAGTGCGTATTTACTACATAGTTTAAATTTTATCGTGTAAAGTCTATTGTAAGTATAAAATTGTGCCATAAATTCCTTTTTTGTGGAATGAGACGTACTTACAACGCCCACTGACTCTCAACGTACGTGTTCACAAAATATCTATGTTTGAAAAGTTTTAAAAAGCAAGAGAATAATATATCACACCCTAGAAGAATACAGTCGCAATTCAAAAAAATTCGATTTTGAGTTAAGTCCATAAAAAGTAGCGTAAAATGTTATGTGTCAACGTTATAGGTAAAATCCATTGCACGAGGCAGAAATATTGTTATTCTTTTAAAATTGTTTTAAAAGGCTTTGTCGTTGATTTAAAATTGTTTTTATATCCATAGTATATACGTGAAAAAATTTTGTCAAGTTTTCAGTTTCGATTTGAAGCTGAATGCCGAGAGCACGTATGTACATACATACGTATTATTATATATGTATACTTATATGTATGTATGTACACGTCGTCTCACACGCAGATCTATTGTATAATCGTGGTATATATGCCACTACGTATATTATCCGTGGCTGCGTTCAGCCGATACTCCGCTAGCCTAGCACGCGTGAGCAGTCGCTCGTTTCCTCTCCTTTTAATCCCGTGGGTCAAAGGAGAGCAAACGAGCGACTGCTCACGATTGCTAGGCTAGCGGAGTATCGGCTGAACGCAGCCATTGCTAGATTAAATATTATATATATGTATAGGTTTGTTCGCGTCGCACGCCCCACCATGCTCCTACTCACTCCAACGCACTCCAAAAACTCATCTGCTCCAATCGCCACCCTTTATCCGTGATCCAAGTGTCTCTGGTGTATATTGGAGTATGCGACGCGAACAAACCTTATATAGGTAACGCCAATAACGGCCGGATGTCGGCGGGTGATGAATATTTTGCGATCCATTTATTAAAAATATGCAGTAACTTCACATCGTGTATGCCATTACTTTCAGTTAGAGTAGAATATGACACGATAATATATTATAATATTGTCCTCTATCTACGCAGGCTGTCCTCGAGACGCTTCTAGCACACATAATTCTTTCAAAATATACCTATGTACGTTATCCTGTGTTCATCGTTTACAAAAGATATCAAGTTCATTCCTCTCGAGACATTTGTTGGTATAATTTTGAATTTCTAACTAGAATCTCATGGACTTGACTCCTACGGATAAAGATATTTTTATTCTTTTGGTCGGTTATTCGTAAATGTGCTGCAAACTCTCGCGGAAATTTGCATCAGGAATCATCAACGATGGCACACCACGCTTACGGCTTACGGCATTACGGCTTACGATACAGAGATTTTTATCAATTGAGGAGAATCGTACGTACTTGCTTGCGATGTAACATAAATAACACGAAACACAGTGTCATTCGCGACAACAAATTTACATAGAGTGCACAGGCTACGCGCTACAGAGCAGTTTTGCAATCAGTTGTATTAATGGTATTAATTAAGGATCTATGGATATATATCACTTGAGACAAGATCGACTCCAATTTAAAAAATAAGAGAGCGAAATAGAGAGAGAGAGAGAGAGAGAGAGAGATAACACGCGAAGCGTATGTCCAAGTGCACAACTATACATATATCGTTATAATTTTGTAATTCCTTAAAAAAATGTTATCTCTCGAGAATCGCCTTCAAAACAAAAAACGGTAAAAAACAGTGAAAACTGCCGCTGCGAATGTTTATCTCAAAGTTTATTCGCAAAGATCCTTAATCGTGTGAAACGTGCGTGTTGCATTGTATATCGAAGACGATAAACTATTTAAATTATATAAAGGTACAAGCGGCAAAAAGCTCTTAGCTAGAGCGCAAACTTTTATAAATATCTAATGTGGAATATCGAATTTGACAATTTTATCCCTCGACATATTTAATGCGGCGCGGCACGGCGCGGCGTGAGAATAAGCATAACATAGAGCTCAATATAAATATGCAGGATGTAGCAAAATTATGTGTATCAAGTATCAAGTTACACGTAAAAAGGAAATTTATTACACGTGGTGGGATTGCAATATAATTGGCGATTGCAAACTATTTGCCCCAAATTCCAATACATCTTCCACTTGTGCTCTTTTTACGAAACGCACCATTTTTCACGCACTTTTTATTTTACGCTTAACCAATTCACACCACACACACACACACTTGATGTTTTTATGTTAGTTGGAAGATTACACACGTTGAATACAAAGACGTTTACTTGCGTCACACGACACACGTGCTTTTCATTTTTGTATAATACCAACATTTCTTTGAGAAATTTTAATACGTTTGAAAAACATGAATAGTATACATATGTATTGCGAGCCAAGTTGAAAGGAAAATGTTACTCGTTGCAATCCTCTCCTTTTTCTTTCACGAAAAAAAAAACAGCAAAAACAACGAAATATTGGCTGTATAAACATCCTGCATTTTACGTTAAACTCTCTCATGCACGCGATGAATATAATATTCTACTACGATAATTGGCCAAAAACCTGTATCGCTCTTGCTACTAAGAGACGAGCGATGCAAGTTTTTACAAAATGCGCCTTCTCTTCGATTTTGGGAAGGCAAAAAAAGAGAAATAGTAGAAGTATGTGTTACAAATTCATACATTTGTCATTCACGGAGAAAATGGAATTAGCTGAAATAGTATACTATAGATTTTTTATAGAAAATCGAATCGCCCTTGTGTGTCTGGATACGTAGAAAAGTAAATCGAGCACACAATCGTATATTTAATATTACACAAGCGATGAGCGATACGTTGAAATCGAGTACGTTGAATTTCAGATGTAGAATACATAATACAGAATAACACGTTGTGCATCGTCGTAAGATTTTTCGTAACTTGATTTCAAATTAATATCATAGCAAATCTAAACCATCTAAACACAGATCTTTCCGTATTTTTCGCACGAGTATACGAGTGCCAAACAAATAGCTCAACGTGGCCTAATAGAGAGAAACTGCGTGTATACATATTTTTTTCTCTTTATGATGCATCGTCCGCATCGCATAAATGCAATTCGTTTAACTAGGTTCAAACGACGAACACGATCTTTCTCTTATATTAGCTAGAACAAGGGCACGGGTAATATGCGAAACGTCCTCTGACGATTGTTATTTTCTCTTTGAGAGAGAGAAGAGAGAAAGAGGAAAACGAGATAGGAGTATATTAGTGAAAGTGTACACCTCATCGATAAAATATATGTAAACAAAGTTAGTACGTTAGTACTGTTAGTATATTAATCAATTAATGTTAGATCAAAGACATCGATAAATCTCGTCGTCTTAATCATCTATCAAGAATATATTTTACCTCGGGATATCCTATCGACAGAAACGAGAATACTATTATGTGGTTCGCATTATCGTTTGAAAAAAAAAACACAATTGGACGCCTCGCAAAAATCTGATTATGGCACGATGATCAGTCGATTACCTTCGATTATAATATAAGCCGATTACATCGGATTTTTCGTCGAGAATTATTAACTATTCTAAATATGTATATATGTGTTTGTGTTGTGTACGCTTTCTCGTATTGACTACTCATCGGATTAGAGAAAGGTTTGCGCCTAAAGAAAGGTGCTAAATTCTTAAAAATATAGATTAATATTTCTTTCATTTTTGAGATTATTGAATTTTTTAATTCAATTGACGCCTCAGAAACGATATCGATTAACGTTTTCTTTTAGCTAGTTTATAACAGCTATTTTAGAGCCGGCAATGTATCTTGAATAAAATTTTTGCTGGATGATGATAGAATTTATCAAGTTTATACATTCAATCGCTAAATACTTTCTTATTGGTTATTTCATCTCTATTATCATCGTCATCATTATTATTATTATTATTAATTTCTGGGCGGGGCGGGGCGAGGCGGGGCGGAGAGACTTTGACTTTTCTTTTTGTACTGATTTACTGCATTAAGCATTTTGGGAAGACTTTTCTGTCTAATGATTTGATATATCTACCCGATTTCCCTTCTCTCAATAACAGCAGATACTTAATGGAGAAATATTATTTACATGTGTGTGTACATATTGTACATCCTTAATTGTGAAATGCTGTTATTCGTTAAATAAAATGTTGTCATTAAATGCGTAACGAATGCATATAAATATTTATTTAAAATGATGAGCAACGTGAATAAAAAACGATAAATCTGTTCGCTGTATACTAATACATATACAACTTTAATACCAGATCTCTTTAGTAGTCACAAACTGAGAAACATTACGTAACTGTAAACTAAAATCTATAAATGGCATATAAAAAAGCATTTTATTTAACACAAACTATCGTTTCTATTAAAATATTAAAAAGACTAATGAAGAACGAGGGGTAATACGTGCGCGCGCGTGTGTGTTATATCTATAATTCACACATATAGTATAGTACGCATTTACTGTGAAAAATAATATCGAACTTTTCGATCAGATCATCCAGTTTTCTCTACTAGTGAGTCGATATCGTACAAATTGGCACTTGTTCAGCTTGTCGGAAAATACCGTTTTTTCGCATTAATGCTGTGAATTCCGATGCGTGGTCAACCGAGAATATGTATCGCGCGTCGATGTAATACGGTCAAGCATTCTCTTCAACGTGCGCTCGCGTGGCGCACTTTCCTCTTCTTTTTGTGTTTCACGACGATATAGAAACTCTTTTCACGACTATTATTCACATACGTGACTTTAAATATGTACAGCGACTACAGGTAACGGCAAACCGCACGTCCTGAATCGCGTTAAACATCTATTCCTTCATTTTCCCTTTTGTTAAACCACTTAATTATGTTGAACACAATGATATCGAAACGCTCTTAATCATATCGATTACAGTTAAACTTTGAATTTCCGTATTGATTAACTAGTGACTATTGAGTTGTGTATTGTGTTCTAACGGGACAAGTGGAATGCATAAACTGATTGTTGAGATAGCACAAATAATATTCTTACGAAACTTGAAAAAATCTCATTCCGAATAACTCAATTTGCTCGTTCTTTAGAGTAAAACAAATGTACTGTAACACGATAATTGTTGAACAATCGAAAAGGGAATAATAAGTTTATATTCGCGTGTTTTTATCTAGGCTGAAATAAATCAAGTAGAATACTTTTACATTCATTTTAGGACATTTATTTTTTATTCGTCAAGAAGTATCGAACACGTTGAACACGAGAAATTAATGTCTCTCGAGTGATTTTTGTCGCGTGCATTTTACTCTAAAATCGTCCCCGTTCTCGCGTGTACTACAAATTACAATCAAGACAAGATACGTCTGTGTCTGCGTGCGTGTGTGCGTGTGTATATTTATTTAAATATCTTGTCTTAAAATGTATCGAAACAAGAAATTTGTTATAATTTGTCGAAAAATATTCTAGAAAATATTTCACGGTTGTGTGGAAGAGAAGCAGAATGGATTTTTTTGTTTTGGCAGTGATTTTATTAGGCTTATTTCTCATTTGATGTATGTTTGTTATCAATTTTGTGTATCGTTAATCAGGATCCTCGCGTATAATTCATCCAATGTCAGTGATTTCCTTTCTTGAATTTCCCGTCTTCTCGTTTTGTCGTTTTTCTAATTTACTTGGTGTGGAAGAGCGAATAGTTTCTGCTACGCAGTAAACGTTGTTACTTGATAAAGATTTACATCTATGGGAACGAGCGAACATTGTTTATTTATTGAGAGCCTTTACTCCTCTTTTCCACTACCTACTTTCATTTACTTTTTGGTAAATAAAAAATAAAATACGTCATACATCTTTTACATCGTGTAAATGTCTCGCGTCACTTTATGCATTCCAATAGCAAGCGGTCACAATTGCATTACATTCTTATAATCGTTTCTATCTTAGGCACGGCCATGGGCAGTGCTACTTTTCGCAAATTTAGAAAGCGATCAATACTTATAATTAGAACAATAAAATCTATCGAAACCTTTAAAGGATTGTCGCGGTTTTGTGTGTGTGGGTGTGTGTGTGTATTTTTTGTGTAACCAATTTATAATTCAAGCGTGCTCGTTACGCGCCCATTCTCTAAATCACGCGTACATCGGTCGCACACCAAGGAAATGCAACGTTATCGATGCACACGTACATATCGTGTTTAAGATAAGAAACGTGCGAGTACGACGCAACTTGAATGGATTTATTTGCGCGATAAGGGATAAAACAAGCGTGCCCGCTGACGTGTGCAGCGTTGCTTCGACCGGACTTGAGGTAGAGCACACGTCGGGAAAGAGGAAAAAGCGGAGAGTCGGTGTCGTCGATAGATGATAGAGTAGCAGAGAAACCTTTGGCAGTATAGATTTTGCCTTTCTTCAAGTTTTCTTTTAATCTGTCCCAAGTTTATTCGCCTGTGGTCGCCGTTCTTGAATTCACATCGCTCATGAGCATATTACTTTGCTCCTGGTATTTTCCCCAACACCTGTACGCGTACAACAATATTACTTGCGTTAATGGTTTGCGAGAGTTTACAACTGTCCAACAACTTTTGCTCAAGCATAAGAATCGTTAAAATACACACTATTCTGGCACACTGCCTGCTACAGCTGACGTTATTAAGAGACGACGGTGAGAAAGGAAAAAACAGAAACAAACTTTTACTTTAGAACTTACCTTGGAAAGATCTACACCAGTCAGTGCTTGTACAGCTGGAGGTACTTGCCCAACGAGACGCGTAAGTTCTCCGCTGGTCGCGTCGCTCCCGCCGAGAAGCACAATTTCTTCCGTTCTCGCTAACGGTGCCGCGACCTCGGCTGCGATCTGACAGAGAAACATTATCGTCCTCATTATTATCGATACTAACGCGCACGCGTTACGTTACACGGCGTTAACAAAATGCAGGAACAAACGCCGCGCGCTCACCTTCGGCAAGGCATTCAAAGTGATGTTGAGTATCGCCGCTTCGCCGTACTTTTTGTAAATCGCGGCTTTCATCCGCATGCGTTCGGCCTCTGATACACCGACGGCCTCTAGAGCATGAGCCTCGGCCTCTCCGATCAATCGAATCTTCTCAGCCTCGGCTTTCGCGGCGTTCACAGTTTGAGTTCTGTAAGTGGCGGTGTTTATAAACATGTTGTCGAAAAGAGCAAAGAATGTGAAAAGGAAAGAAGGAAAAGGAAGAATCACAACGTCCTCCTCGAGTAGCTTTGTCACGAAAATTCTACCTCTTTCCCTCGGCAATTCTTCCCATTTTATAGAATTCAGCTTCGGCTGGTAATCGCACTGTACTCTGGAGCTCATGCTCCTTTCGACGGATCTCCTGTTCCTCGACTTCGATTTGTTTGCGCCTCTCCACAACGTCTATCTGTATCTCCTCGTTTCGTATTCGCTGTTTTATCTTTGCCGCTTGAAGTTCGTAAGCTAACTGGGCCTCGGCTTTCTGAAGACACGCAGAATAAAGTAGAGCACGGTACGTGAGCACGCGTGACTTTGTTAAAAATATATCGATCGCGTATTTCGCAAAAAACAAACTTACCGCTGTATTTACTTCTTGATCGAAATGAGCCTTCTGCAATTGGTAGAGTCTTGCGTTGTCCTCTATCTTTGTGTCGGTATTGTATTTTATATCCATCGCCGACTTTTCGCATTCCGCTTCCTATCGTGGAACAGGGAAAACATTTAGATATCGTGAGAGTGCGTTAACAAACTAATAAACAGAACTATACGTCCTGCTCGATATCAATATTCTTTTGGCTACATGGCTACGTGGACGCGCGTGTTTCTTCCGACTAAATGTACGGGACCTACGCGAGAATATTAAGAGAGATCTTTCTCGAGAAACACTTGTCATTTTCGTGCCAACACAAGAGCCAAGACATACCCTAATACCGGCATCTCGATTTGCCTCGGCGACCCCTACATCAGCGTCTCTTTTAACAGCGGCCGTCTGGGCTTTGCCGAGCGATGTTAAATATTGAACCTCATCGTAGACATCCTTTATCGTAAACGAGAGGATCTCGATGCCCATGCGACCGACGTCCGGCGCGGCGACTTCTCGCACGAGAGCCGCAAATTGATCTCGATCCTTGTAGACTTCCTCCACGGAGAGAGTTCCTGAGAAAAAACCATCATTTTCTTCCAACCATTTTCGTCCTCCATCGGAAACAATTTTGAAACAATTTTCTTGTTATTGTTGAATACGATATGATTTAATACGATAAAAATATAAATGGATGTAAGTATTTGGAACTTGGCTCATATCTAAATTACATTCTACACATACATTGTAGACATTTATACAGACACTACAGACATTATAAATTATTCATCGTTTAACGAATATTAATCTAATGTTAATCTCGAAAGTTTTATTATATAATATGTAGGAACGCGTACCAAAAGTTATTACAACTGTGGCGTGCATTTATTAAAATGTTTATTATATTATATATTACAATAATTTTGATGGTAACTTGTAATCCAAGTTAATAAAAAAGAAAAAGCTAATTAGCTCTCAATCGTCGAGGGATTGCGGGAGGCTCGAAAGAGAGAATGGCGTTACCTGTTAATTACTATATAATAATATCTAATAATAATGAAGTAAAATAAAATGACCAGAGAGAGAAAGAGAGAGAGAGAGAGAGAGAGAGAGAGAGAGAGAGAGAGAGAGAGAGAGAGAGAGTGCGTGTATGAACGAGTGAACAAACGTACCCAGTATAGCTCGAAGATGACCCTCTAAGGTGGATAGGATCGTGGACTTGATCTCGTGAACGCTCTTTCCGAGAAACTGTTCACTGGCAGTATGCAACAATTCGTCGGCCTTCATGATTTTGCACTGCGCCACTCCAGTGACCGTCAGCGGCACCCCCTGCGCCGTTTCTACGCTCTCGCACACCGGGTTCAGAGTCATCACCTCCAGCGACAAGCGCTGTACGTCGGTGACGAACCACCAGGTGAACGCGTATCCGCCGACGATGGTCCTCTTTCTCATAGAGCCGCAGCATCCTCCTGTGAAACGTAAAGACGATTCGTACGAATGTTTTTCAACAAATATTTGCGAGAAAATTTACTTGCAAGTTGAACATTTCATTGAGCTTTCATCCATGTTTGTGTTATTTTCGGTCGAGTTGTTTTCGAATCAAATCTCTTTGTGCAAATCAAAGTACAAATTTTTCTTTATAAAAAAATCATGTGTTTTACATTGAAAAGAGAAAGAAATATCGGCGCCTAAACTGTGCTTGACAATGAAATGAATCTATTTTACGCGCGCCAATTAGAATTTACGATATCTCACCTTGCAAACCTTATCTACTTACCTTACGCTACATTATTACAAAAGTTATCGCGGGAGATATTGAGAGTATTATAATCTCACAATTTGATGAAATCTTACATTTATATACATATACGTAACATCTTTTTACATTTATGTATGATTATTGATATCTCTGTAAATAATAAATCATTACAATTGTAGAGAGAGAGAGAAAGAGAGAGAGAGAATTCAGGTTAAAAAAATTTACTTTCTAGGATACGCGTAGCCACGGATTCATCGATTAGCTAGTAATTCCAAACGATCGTTAAACGCACGCCTAGTATCACAACAATAAGTAGGTCAGCCCCGATAACGGATGAGTAATTCTTCAGTCGCTCAAACCCTCGAAGCATACGTACAGAGTTCCTCCGATCCATTGAGAAAACCAAATGAGATATATCACGTTATCGCGCGTGTGTACGAGTAATTTTGAAATATACTGTCGCAATTCTTCTCGTTGATATTATAACATTTATAGATGACATCGATATTGACATCATCGCGATTACATCCTAAAGATTATTCTCATATGGCACTGTAATCTTAATTTCAATTCAAACTAATCCGCTGGCAGATCTTGATAAAATGACGCTTTGATATTTCCGTAATAAAAGTAAGACACGACAAATTAATTGGTGGGCTCGCCATATAATGATTGTTCAATTGCTCACTAATCATTATTCAAAATCCTCGAAATTTCGAAAATGCCCGATATATATTGTACTTGTAGTTGCCAAGTGAAAAAAAAATTAAAAACTTTACTTACGTATATCGTACTATCTAACAATAAGAAACTGACGAAATGTATGCGTGGAGCAAAAAACCAGAAAAGTCAGACACGTGGCATTTCTTTCATTTCCCCGATAAGAAAAATTTGTCGGCAAGACGTATACATTGAAAAAAGAGAAAGAGAAAGAGAGAGAGAGAGAAAAGAAAAAAAATTATTTTATTGTCAACTACGTTTTCGCATTATACGTGATACTCAGGTAGCACATACACGTTTCAGAAATGTTTTATAAGCGTTTTTCCGAAACGTTTTATAACCGGTTTCTAGAAACGTTTTTCATGAGTAAATAAAAATGTCCATTCGAAAAACGTTCGATGGAACGTTTCTTTTCCGATAAAATGACGTTCAAAAAACTATTGTAGAAACGTTTTATTTTAATGATAAAGACATTTAAAATTCCTATTTTTTACGTCTTTTGAACAGTGCGTGTGACGTCTTTGAGACATGCGTGAGACGTCTAGAAGCTTTATGCATATATCCAGGTAGCACATATTTCATATATGTTTTTTGAACGTATACATATATGTAACCGTAAAGAACCATTAAGAAACGTTTGAACAAAAATGTTTTTGAAACCATGATTTAAGAAATGTATTTTTTACGTTTCTACAGTTAAAAAATACTTGCGTGTTACATTTTTTCTTTCAAAATTATGCTAAATTAAATTTGCTTTATCTATATATATAATAGCTTTAATAGCCTTTTTTGAAACATTAAAATTTATATTGCACAAACGAAATGATTTTATCCATGCACCGTGCGTTTCTTAAATTATGGTTTCAAAAACATTTTTGTTCAAACGTTTCTTAATGGTTCTTTACGGTTATGAAACTATGTATATATGTTCAAAAAACGTATATGAAGCTACGAGACCTGTAATAGTGTGTGCTACGTGGGTCAGCTGAAGCTACGATTTTTCTAAGGTGAGCAGAGCAGGGAACACGAACCCGGAGAACGGGATCAAAACGAGAAGGGAGATCATATACCGGTATACCGGTATGAGCCCAACAAGGAGGAAGATTGAAAGAGAAAGAGAGAGAGCAAATCGATGACCGTTATACGCCGCGTGCCGCGCCTACGGGACTGAAGACTCTGAAGAGCCCGGAAACCATAGCCTCATTGCGAATCATACATTATCCTCAATGAGATATCCACACCTGGCTACGTGCACGTAGTCTCGAGGCTGTAGCTGTAGCCGTAGCAAGGTCATGGTCAGTATCACTTCGTTCTTCGTCGAGTAACATCGTTCGAATGTTCCGTCCTCGCGTTTATCGCGATCAATCGAGGAGATTCCGTACTCCTGCGTACTACCTGCTCCACGTTATCGATATTCTTCGACGAAGAAATTTCACTTGGCGTATTTCTATACCGAATACGCGAATACGGGACGGAAGAGAATCATCTCATATTTTTCACAGCTCGTCGAAGCTCTTTGCTGAATGTGTTTAAAATGTGACAAGCACAATATATTCGCTTTGGTGTCATTGAACCTGCAGCGAGAACGCATTGAAAACGCACGCAAGCACACGCAAGCAAGTAAATTGACTTTCGTAGAATTTGTTCAAGATTCGAGAAAGACGATAGGTAGGTGATTTGAGACAAATCTCATTGATAATCTCGTTTAGCGGAAACAACTAAAACTATTCTTTTGGGCATGGTAACGCGACATATCTATTTAAATCACACACCAGTTGTCCTTTTTCACACAAATCTTTCTCACCGCTGTCATTACATCTGGAATTCAATCCAAATGCCATCACTTGATTTCATATTTGCTCTCTTATGTCCTTACAAAAAGAAAAAAACCGCGCTCCGATGAAATTAACAAGTTTATAACAATGTCAAGAATCATCAAAATGTCAAAGTTGTAACAATTTGTAATATTTCCATTGTCACGATTCCATATTTACAAGGAGGGGATTGTTGATATAGAGTAGAAACGCGATAAATGAATAGCTATCAGATCGTTACCCTATTTTCATTCACATACATTCAAGTAACTATGTAAATAATACTAAATTTACTGTTGCTTTACATACGCAGGCTAATATATTCCACAACTCACGGCAGAACTTTTTCTTATTTACGCTTCGTGAATCATCTTTGGGGAGTCGATATTTCCTCAGCGAAAATAGAAAAAAAGAAATTATTGTTTATAATGCCATTTATTTTCCACAATCTTTATTTCACAATCTTTAACATTTTATATTTTTATAGCTAAGAGCTTTTCAACATGTGTATGCGAAATACAAATACTGCTTTCTCAATAAGAGAGAGAAATTTTTTTAACGAATATTATCTCTTGTTCTAATGGATAAGATTTTCTTGTGCGCAAGTGGGACCATTTATATCGCGCGTTATCCAATCTATTTTCAGCCGTTGATTCAGAGATATCAGTTAGAACGAATAACTTGGTGTTCGTAATGTAATCAAAATAATGATATTTAAATTTCATGCACCGTTTTTATAAAATCTTTAGAGAAATAGTAAAACAGCGTATACGTAACACTGATCTAGCATGTGTCATACGTGCGTATTCACGCCTAGTCAGAACGCTCATTCATTAGCTTTAAAACGTGCTTCTTCTGACGCAGAGACTCGCGCGAATACACATAGTGTATTCCATATGCGCAAATTTTCGGAGAAATATATCCTGTATAAATAAGCTTCTTTTTTCTCTTCGCGATAAAAGAGTAAATGGATAAGAAAAATAGTATCTAAATGATCTCGACGTATAACATAAAAATGCATGCAACATGGAAAATTTTTACGTAAAAATATCTCGCTAACGTATGACGGAACGTGATTAAAACTTTCGAAACCGCATTAATGTTTAAGAATGTTAAAGACTTTTAGAATGTAAGTTCTCCGCCGCGCCGTCTTTCAGGAAGTAGGCAACCAGTGCAGCTTTCCTTTTCGAACGTTTAGCTCGCGTTAATTTATACGTTTTGTGTTGACACGAGCACGGGCATCATATTTTCGCACGTTTTTCATCCTTGATTATATAACGCGGTTTCTGAGGTTTTTCCCTCCCTCCCCCCGTCTCTCTCACTCCCTTTGATTTTGTCGAGCTCCTAATAGTTGGCACAGTACGTCGTGCAACAGTTTACAACAAGAGTCACGTGTGTCCGTATAGCGTTATAGCAGTTCCCAGAAAGAAATCAGATTTTAAAAATAAACATGATACATTTTATTTACAAGCTTTCGATACAACGTAAAGTCTAAATCCATCTGTTGTATCTGATATCACGGCCATGTAAAGTGCGGCGCGCGTTATCATCCGTGGTTATTTGTGAAAACATGATTTCTGACATGAAAATCTGTTTCAAAGACAGATAAACGTGTTTAACAGTTTGGGGGTTGAAGAACCCGCGAAATATTTATGAATATGCGGGTGCGTATAAAATTCGCACTTGAAATTACTTAACAGATTTGAAAGTTTCACAAGTAATTGATATTCACTTCGCATCGTCAAATTGCCCAGACCGGGCAGCGTGGCTTCCTCTTTCATCAATTTCTAACGTGATGGTTGCCAAGCTATCGGTTTTATTTGAACAGTACGGCGCATTGATTTGATTCGGTTAGATGTTGCCTGGAAAATTCCTCAATTCTCTTCCTCAATCGAATTAAAAGATAAATAAATACTATTACTTGAGTCATTCGCATCGTACAACACAACACATTCATTGAGAAAGTCGTACGGTCGCTACGTGACAATCGGAGAGATTTTTAGCAAAACATCTTCTTCTCTCCGTGTACGAAGAGTTACATTCACAAAGTAGATCAAGTTACCTATATATCTCATCGTTACACGATACTGCTCAACACATCCTGTTAGGAGATTTCTATCCATTTTTCATGGATTTTGAAAATAATCTTGGAAATTACATCAACGAAAATGACAAAAAAAGATTGGCGTACTCATATTATCATTGTACATTTGTTCAGTGATGTAATAAGGAAATAAATAGCGTATAGTGAGATATTAGTAAATAAATTCGCGCTTGTATCAGTAAATTCCAACAAAGTTCTTCGGTTCTAGGAAGTACCGCTAGGAAAAAAAAATGGGCATCGAAAGCTTTCTGACAGAAAGTTTGACTTCAGCGTCCACCAGCGGACTTTCATTATTCTTTCCGGTTCTCGCTGCGACACTTGCCTACTTTCATTACGAAGTTCTGGATAACGAAGCCCCGCCGATCAACGTGCCATCAGACATGCTATTACCTTCGTATGATTTTATAGTGATAGGCGCAGGTAGTGCAGGTAAGTTGTTGAAGCGTTCGAAACTCATTATTTCGTTATTTAATAACGCGTGCGATATGTGTAATATCTCTCCTCTGTTATTTCCTTCTTTTTCTTTTTGTATCAGGAGCCGTAGTTGCCAGTCGATTATCCGAGATCGAGGATTGGAACGTATTGTTGCTGGAAGCAGGCGGTGACGAAACCGAGGTCTCGGACGTGCCTCTGTTTGCCGGTTATCTCCAATTGAGCCAGCTCGATTGGCAATATAAGACCGAGCCACAGGGTGATGCCTGCCTAGGTATACATGTATAATTTATCCTTCCCCCCCCCCTCAAACCAGTAGCTGGAGAAACTGTCCGTTTCTCTCCGTCATGTTTTTCCTTTTACGTTTTATTAAACATTTATAGCGATGGAGGACAGCCGTTGCAATTGGCCGCGTGGCAAAGTACTGGGCGGATCCAGTGTCCTCAACTACATGCTCTATGTACGAGGGAACAAGAAAGACTACGACCTCTGGGAGCAGCAAGGTAATCCTGGCTGGGGGTCGCATGAACTCCTGCATTACTTCAAGAAATCCGAGGATAATCAGAACCCTTACTTGCTTCGCACGCCGTATCACGCGAGCGGCGGGTACTTAACGGTGCAAGAGGCACCGTGGCACACACCTCTAGCGGCGGCCTTTGTCCAGGCTGGCCAAGAGATGGGCTACGAAAATCGCGACATCAATGGCGACGTTCAAACCGGTTTCATGATCGCTCAGGGCACTGTCAGACGAGGCAGTCGTTGCTCGAGTGCAAAGGCTTTTCTGAGGCCGGCCAGACTCAGGAAGAATCTACACGTGGCAATGCACGCGCACGCCACCAAAGTGCTGATACACCCCAAAACAAAGCACACTTACGGGGTTGAGTTCGTCAGGGACGGCAAGGTCTTTCATATGCGCGCAAAGAGGGAAGTGATTGTGTCCGGTGGCGCGGTAAATTCGCCTCAGATTCTCATGCTGTCTGGGATCGGGCCGAAGGAACATTTGCGAGAGCTCGAGATTCCCGTGATTCAAGATAGCAGGGTTAATATTTTAAATAAAGAATTTTTCGATTTCTCTCTCTCTCTCTCTCTCTCTCTCTCTCTCTCTCTCTCTCGATCAAAAGTCTTTTCACTTTACTAGATAAATATACGTCATACGTCAGTCTTGTGTAATAAATTTGACAATCGGTTACAAATCGGTTATAGAACTTTCGAGCTTCAGCACAACACGCTCCACCTTATTTATCCATACGAAATTCTCCATACAGGTCGGCTACAATTTGCAAGACCATGTCGGCCTAGGGGGACTCACGTTCATGGTCAATCAGGAGATTTCTATGGTGGAGAAACGGCTGCATAGTGCTCAGGCGGTGATGCAGTACGCTGCGCTAGGTGACGGCCCCCTGACGGTGCTTGGAGGTGTCGAGGGTATCGCTTTCGTCAACACCAAATATGCGAACGCTTCGCTGGACTTCCCCGACATCGAGCTGCATTTCATTTCCGGCTCGACTAATTCAGACGGCGGGACCCAAATAAGGAAGATCCACGGACTGACGAAACAGTTCTACGATGCCGTTTTTGGGCCGATCAGCAACAAGGACACGTGGAGCGTTATTCCGATGTTGCTACGACCTAAGAGTCGAGGGGTAATCAAACTGCGCAGCAAAAACCCGTTCGAAAAACCTCTGATCTATGCGAATTACTTCAAAGAACCAGAGGACATTGCCACGTTGGTCGAGGGAGTCAAGATCAGTGTGGCTCTGAGCAGAACTAGCGCCTTCAGGCGATTTGGAAGCGAGCTGAACTCGCAGCTGTTTCCAGGATGCGAACAAATTCCCATGTATACGGATCCTTACTGGGAATGCATGATCAGGTTTTATAGCGCCACGATTTATCATCCGGTTGGCACGTGCAAAATGGGACCTTACTGGGATCCCGAGGCCGTCGTTGATCCGCAACTCAGAGTCTACGGTGTGACTGGGCTTCGCGTGATCGACGCATCGATTATTCCTAACCTGGTAAGTGGGAACACGAATGCGCCAACGATCATGATCGGCGAGAAAGGAGCAGACATGATCAAAGAATATTGGTTAAAGTGGAAGAACAGATCCGAGCAGCAGTCTAGCGAACGATAAGACGAACTCACGCGCACATCCCTTACATCCTTGATACGGATTACGGATGAAGACATGATGCGATAGTACAAGACGGCACTAGTGCCGTCGACATGAAAAGACTTGTAGAAGAAATTTTCTGGACTTTATTACATTTTTTATGAGCCATATTAGTGTAAGGATATCCGTGAATCTACACGCGAATGTCATCGTGCATTTTAAAACATTTTAACTTCTTTATCGGTCATCACGCTGTCATCAGCCATATTGTAATCTAATATTAAATTATAACTTGTGGAGAGAGAGAGAGAGAGAGAGAGAGAGAGAGCGCTTGTAAAACGGCGGAATATTTAGAGTAACGAAATTATGTATACCAAACTATGTACGACGCAGCATGTAAGCATCGTTTTAAATACGTAGAATGTTGTCATGTCCACGTATATAGGTATAATACTGTTTTTTAAATTGAATTTTTATCTTTCATCTTTATCTATTAGTAAGTGACCGATTCTCTACATGAAAAATAATTACTTGGGCTCCATTCGCATACGCATTGATTATTTCTTTCCTTAATTATATTTTGTAGATAAAATTTTTTGCCCTTCCAGAAAGTTTTTTAAAGCGATGAAAAGCTCGAAACAAATACATGCAATAAATTACAGGACAAATCGGTGGAAAAAAATCTTAACCATGAACAAAGTCTCTAAAAGAGGAATTTTCGCATTAGACCAATATTGATTCATTCACCGTAGAATTTTCTGTTTAAGAATCAAAACAAATATGTGACTATCAAAAAGAAAGTAATAATAAGAAAGCTCCATCGCAAATCATATAAGAATGTATTATAGGGATTTGAATGGCTTCATAGAGATAAAGAGAGGAGAGGTGAGATTTATAGAAAGGATGAGTCACACTCGTCTTATATCGGAAGTTATAAATGCACGGTCAAACCCGAATCCAATACCAGGATGCTCATATAATAGTTTGACGGCTCGTCGGACACAAGTATTTGGCTTGTTCTACACATGTCATTTCACATCGACGATATATTATCCGGTTGGCATCTGCGAGATGGGCCCCAGTCAACAATCGCTACGCCGCGGCCCTCACGTCGATTCTAGAATTAAGAGTTTATGGGATCGTGGGATTGCGACTCGTGCGAGTGATCGACGCGTCCATTATGCCGCGCGCATATTAGTTTTAGGAAATACTAACGGGAGATTAGTCATGATTACTGTTAAAGATTACGTTTCGCGAGAGATCAATGCGGGATAAACCGTGTATCGCTATATCTTTCATTTTACTATATATTATATGTATACTGTGTACTATATACTATGTAGTATAGTATTGTACATTTGTAACATTCTTGAGTAAAAGAAAAAAAACCGCTTCAACTGTACGTGAGTTTCTTACGTGTACCGTTGTAACAATATATAAAATAGTTAGGTATATTAGCGTCATAAATGATGATTTGGCACTTGACTAGAAACATGATAAAACATTTAGAAATTGTTTGTGAAACGCTTACTTTTGTTGCGAAACACTAATAATTTGTAAAAACTAAAATGTGAAAATTAATGTAAATTAAAAGACAAATTCTTTTGTATCTCCACTTTTTTTCCACGCGAGCTCTTCGTTGTTCTTCTGCGGACTGTTTGCGTGCGCGCGTGCGTGTAACTCTAAACTATACTTGAATCGAGAATCGAGTTTAGATGATGCTACTGATACTGCAGGACGAATGATAAACGGCATGCACGTAATAAAATACAAAGATTACTGGTATATGATAAGTTATCACGTTATTACGTGATGCTCATGCAGTTCGAGATCGTTCAAAATATATTTAATCACGTCGCATACGTACAAACACGACACGCGCGTTGTCATAAATGCGATATATGCATACATCGAAAACTTGAAAAATCGCTGGCCTAATAATGTAATGACGTATAGTTATATCTGTTATTATCTGTACATATATAGTGTATATGTAATATAAATCAAAAAGTGATGTACTGCGATATGGCGAGAAACAACATGATAATTAATCATACCAAACATTATTAAAAAATAACAAAAATAAATGTGTTTTTTGCATTTTAAAAAACTATGGCCATCTTACCCGAGTTTACCCTACCTATACCACAATATTCGTTTTGGGCTTTTACATTTATGACGACAATCTTTCTTAGGGAAAAAAAGGCAAAGGGACAAAACACATTTAAGTGATCTAAATTTAGACTCCGATATCTGGATAAGCCCTCCCGGATATGTCTCCCCAAAATATCTCTATTGACCGTGCTATTCTCCGGTAGCTTTGCGTTAACGATGACGTTCAACGTCGTCGTTGCACGTCGGTCACAGCCGCTAAGATATAAATGCGTCGTACTTTTACATCCACATGTGTGCAAGCGTATTTACTTTCAAATTATAATATAAATATAAAATGACGCGTGATCCATGTGTAGAGAAGTGCGCGATACGCACTGACTACTGTCGAGTCAAGTTCTCTTCTCCTCCACCATACGCGAGTATGCGCGGTGTTCCCGCAGTGCTCCTTGTCATCCGAAATGTAAATCGTGATAGGATTCATTTTTTCCCTATATAAACCAGTATAAATTCTTCGTTCGCGGTATAACGTCTTCTGCACGGGACGATAACGACAAGCTGAATGAAGCTACGGGAGCTTTGCAGGCTTTGCTATACCGGCCGGAAATAATATCGTTACGTAAAAGATCGAGGTAAAAGTCAAGGTCCTTTTAATTAAATAAAAAGAAAAGAAACGTAAGATATTAAGTACCGCACGGTAAAGGCACTCTGCTCGCCGTATCATATCTACGTGTCACCAACTATTATAGGCAGCTCGTCGTAAATGCGTTATTATATACGCATTTTATGCGATCAAGTCAGTCATCAAGTTTCAGTCATCGACTCGGAGTCGTTGAATTAAAATATTGTGTATTAATATGATGGGGGGAAGAAACATCAGATTGTTGATACACGTTTTGAAATGAGAAAGATTTTAACAAACGGTATCATGCCTGTTTGTATCAAGTCTTTATTTACGTAACGAACACGTTCTTTATCGCGGGTCCAACGAAATTTCACTCGTATCTTCACACGTCAGCGTATGACTTGTAAAACTGAACGAGTTACATGAATAAATGTACAATGCGTGCGATTTCGAGACTCGAACTTTTCTCTGATAACTTTTATAACTCTAATGTACCGTTTATTTTACACGTTCTCTTTCCATCTCTCTCCCTCTCTCATTATTTTTGTTGTTTCTCTCTCGTTCTCTTCTTGACAAAATAAATTTTTTCACACGTTGTCGGATGTACAAGTAAGATCGACAAGTTCATTTTCTGGCTTCCAATAAAGTGTTGATCACTCGATCGTAAATCCTCGAAGAGTAAATCATAGATGCATTAATCCACGCGGTGTAAATCCTGTTTGGAGCCAAGACGAAGACTCGGACGATGACGTCACACCACGTGTATCTTCTTCGTCAACGAATGTTTCTGACCACACGCGATGAGTTTCTCGATTAGTGCATATAGTGTGGTCGTAGTTATGCTGTCCCTTTGGCTGTGCCGAGCGGTAAGTGTCGAGAACATGATCATATTGCGAATCCGCGAGACACTCCGAGTTGATCGTTTAAGATAATCTGTGGTTTTGGTGATAAGACAAATCACGTGGTGCCTATGTGTCCTATATCATCGTACAAACGTCGTCGAAATATCATTAATATCAATTTCCACGAAATGTTTAGATTTCATATTTTTAGGGGAGACCGGGGCTATGTGTCCACACTTTACGCTATTTTCAAGTTTACTAAAAAACTAATAAAGATATTTGGCTAAAATTTTAATGGTATAACCTTTCAACCTTGCTATTAAAAAAAACATGTTTAGAATCGTTGATCTTTTAACGTTTCAGAAAGGCGAATTTTTTAAGTGGACAAGTCAAGCGTATTAGACAGATAGTCCCATATGCGGGAACACGTCGTCATTAAAATGTGTGGACACCGTGCCCTATCAAAATTATAGAAGAGATAGCCCCGACCACGTTTTTCAGTCTTTAACATGTTACCAATTTTAGATAATACGGAACTAAGATTTGACGCTTCTCACGCACCTGATAACTATATATTAATTGATAATATTATGAATTGCTTACTTTAATTTGAGTTAAAACTACTGTCGCACAGCAAAATTTTCGACCGTCGAAAAATGTGAACACGTGTTTCCGCTTTTTTTTTAACGTATAATAAATATAGCGTCTGCGAGAGGCATCGCAAGGAAACGAAAAACATTTAAATATCTTACGTAGGGCAGTTTTTAAACTACTTGTTACAATGGTAGAGATATCTGTCTCTTAAAACTTGAGATAGCGCAGTACTGTGGACGCATAGCCCCCGTAGACAAATAGCCCCGCGGTCTCCCCTATCTAAATTTCAGGTAATATTTGGAAAAAGACCAAGTCTAGAATGTATGGATGATAATTTCAAAGTGACCTTTATGTATATTAACATGTGTTTTTCATTCGTTTCTAGCGAAGAAAATACGATTTGATTAAAAGAGAAAATATTGATAAAAATTTCTGTAGACTTTCTCAGGTTCACTTCTACGTGTAGTAAAATTAAAACTCTCATCTCTATAAAATGAACACTTGTCTTTGTTTTATCTCTTTGTCTTGAGTCATCTACGATGTTAATGTCTACACGGCGTTAATGTATACAGTTTAACGAAATTTCACTTGCTCCGTTTGCGAATGGAGAAACTTGTACTGCCGGGCATTTTGCACATGTGATATATTCGTCATGTCATACTGCGGACATACTGCGTACTCTTTGATCGCTGTGGCGAAATTTTATCGCGAGCAAGCACGAACTTTCACGTGAAAAAAAAAAACATAGTACACTGGATAATCTTTTAATAGATGTAAAAAATGCTAAAAGTAATGATATATAAAAATGCTAAAAATTGTATCGACATGTTTCATTAATACATCGCGCGTTTAAAAGAAGATAAGGGACGTAATAATAAGAGAATGGATAACAACTACGTTTTAATTAAAAAAATTACAAATCCTTCAATACTTTGTGTCACGTGAGGTGAAATTTAAAACAATGCCACAGAGAGGTTAAATGATAGGTAGGTATAAGTGCGGGACAATTAAGTTTATTGCAAAACGCGCTTATTACATTGTCGGCGTATGCTATTGCTTTCAATGGTATTCTCATAAATCGTATAATCGTATAATCGACGTTTCGTTCCTCTCGCCCAAGTGTTTAGCCGACATGTGTCGAAACTCCGTCGCAATCATTTTCACAAGCGATTATATACATATATCCTCTTATTAATGAGCACACAACGTAAAGCCTGTATTTTAGTAACGATGCTCTACGATAATGATCAAACGTTGACTCCTGTGTCTGACTTGTGTCTTTTGAAGAGATATGCCTAGTAGTATAAAATGCATTT